TTTATATATTTTAAATTATGATATGTAATTAAGAATTACTGAAGACCTCATTGATGTACTCGTTTTTTAGAGAGAAGAAAATGATGTATTTTGATACGGGTTAGTTTTTGAAAAAAAACAAAAAACCGTTTTGTACTCAAACCACAATGGTTGCAATTCTAAGAAGAAACTAGGAAATAAGATTTGGAAAAATTATTTTTAAAATGGATATCTGTGAATGGATAAATCCATAAATAATATCATTTTTGAAAACGACTTGTGTAAATTGGTCATGAAATATATACACTTTATAAAATTTTTACTGATACTAGAAAACAGGGTTTTGGGCTCCTAGTGCAGCGGAGCACTTAACTCGACGAAGAATAATGGATCTTTATAAAACAGCAAACAGTTTTTGAATTTTCCTTTAAATGAATAGGAACTCCTACTCAGCATTCTCAATCTGATTTAGAATGAATTGACTTCAAGAATATGGCTAAAGTCCTAGTAATAACTACAAAAATTATTTTCAACAATAATAAAAATCAAAACAATAATTAAATATAAGGAATTAAAATAGTAAGCAATAATTAAAATAGAAAGCCATACATAGGGATGATCATACTTGGTACATTCGAAAGTGCCGCAATGTAGCACTTTTGTATAATTTAGTGGAAAAAGTTTATAAGTGCAGGAATGTGATACATCTAGACTGATTCCTAAGAATTATTTTTAATATAATCATGGTTTTATATGATGGTTTTTCACTTTTTTCTTGCTTTGTTTTTAGTTACAAGAAATTAGAAATTTGCAAAAATTTCAGAGTCCTTTAATAGATATATAAGTTATGTCAAGAGTTGTGTAAGAAGTAACAATAAAAATATTTTATGGATTGTGTGATGAACTAAACATCAATTTTTTACTATCTACATCAGTTTGCAGGTTCAAGGTTTTAATCGTTGTGTAAGCAGACCTATGAATAATGTGTAAAATTCATTAAATAGATATATTTTTCTATGGACTCTGGAATATTTAATTTATCTACATACACCACCAAATTAATCTTATTGAAATTTTATACATTAATTTCGCATTAATTAAATTTTGAGAATGCATAAGAGCATACGTCACAGTGGATACATCTGGAATTATCTTCCCTGGATGAGTTTAAAAAGCAACTTATATCAATTGGCTATAAATTTAAATAAACATAAAACAAACTCAAATATTTCTAACTGAACCGAACCACATTGTAACCAAAACAGCCGCAATGGGACATTCAAAGTTGGGCCATGAAAAGTGGTGAGATTTTCAAAAAAAAGGGTGGTCAAGACATTCAAATACTTGTACGTTTAATAAAAAAGTTCTGGAAGTAAAAAGGCAATACGGTATACTTATAATTACAAAAGAAACGTGCAGTGTAGTTGTCCTTTACAAACGGATCACATGAAAAATAAAAATACGTAGAACAAAAAAAAAAAAATAAAATGAAATACAATAAAAAATAACGAAAATGTCCAACAAAATTTGATTTTTATCGCAATTCATTTGAATTTTATTGCGTACGAAATTTCCAACATTCGACACAATTCAACCCAAAATTCAAAAACCCAAAACTATTAAATGGCAACTACAGCAGCCATTTTACGGACATCCTTCCGCCACATTGAAACACACTTGCCAAGTGCGCATCAACCTAAACAGCGCTCGTCCTTCGGTTGCCTTTTGGATTGAGCTTGTTAACGACTTGGGGTGCTGTTACGGCTGTGGTGCACGTTTCTTGGCCACGTTGGCGTCATTTTCTGAGCAATAAAATAAACATTCAGGAATGATGAAATCAAGCTAAACGATTCTAGCTTTTGTTTGTTCTTTTTTGACCATTGGATTTTGTTTTATTCAAGTTTTACTGTAGCTCACATAATTTCATTTTTGTTGGGAATTGAGAAGAAAATAAATAGGAAAACTCCAGGGTCTATAAACGGGACTACATCGAAGGTAATCGATGTGTTTTTTTTTCTCCATGAATGGCATTGTTCAATAACGCATTGCATTTTTGAAAGGGGTTTTGAAGTTAAGGAAAAGGAATTTATTTATATTTAAATTTTAATTAAAGTAAATGAAATAAAATGTTGATAAAATGAATAAAATATTAATTAAATATTTACTTATACATTAACATAAAATAAAACCCAACAAGTGAATTTGTTAATAAAAATTTCATAGCAAATTAACAAAAACTCCAGAAAAATGTGCGAACACAAAAGTCAAGTACGGTTTTGGGTCACTTGGTTAAGGAGCGCTGACTCTGAGCTTCAAATTTGACAGGGTACGAGTTGGATTCCTGGTACTTGCAGTCTCAAAAAATTATTCATGAATAATTAAATACAAAAATTATTTCCAAGACCACTGATGATGGGTATTTGCCAATACTCGAAACAGCTGTATGTTCAACCAAAAATTCAATTAATTAAAATAATATAAAAATAATTTTTGTTGTTGTAGCTAACTACTGTTTGAAAATCTTTTTAAAAAATATTCAGCAAAATTTTATATAAAATCCGTTATTAAAGTAGCAATAGATTGCTTCTGGAGTTCAGTGAGCAATTCAATAGGAATTGTCCATTCGCTTAGTGCTAACCGAAGAGTGACCACAGAGAAATTTTTTTAGAGAGGAGAAATCGTTATGTTATGTCACCATTGTTGAGATGGCAACACAACTAATCTACTACTAACCCCCGGTTTTATTCCATTTTTATATATGTAGTTCTATGTATGTCTATATGTAGTTGGAGTATTAATCAGGCACCTCAGACATAAACTTTTTTATCTTATGAAGATAAATAAATCTTCATAAATAAATAAATTGGGAACACATAAATTTATAAAAAAAAACGTCATAGATTTTTTATTTATTTTTAATTTTGTACAAAAAGAGTTAAGAATTTTCTTGCATCAAAAATATGGTTTACTGGATTGAATGAAAGTACTCTGTTATAAAATCTGAAAAGATATTATTTTGTGGTTTCTTATTTAAATAAAAGTAAAATATAGTACCATAACTTACATACCATTCATTATACAGGTATGCAATATTTATTAATGAAAGAAGCCAGGTCCATATATACTGGACCTTAATAATTTGGTAGTCTCTACTATTAATTTTTCTAGAGAACAGTTATCAACATTAAAATAGGTTTTGATAATGACTAATAATCAATTAACTTACATATCAATTTCAGCATAAATAAATCCAGAATATATTGGTAGATAATTTAGTTAAAGTCATCGTACCAATATCCTGAGAAATATATTTGTAAAAATACTTTTGATGCACATTATTATATAAACTATACGATGATTTAACTTACATGTAAGTCACAAAGTATAATTTTGGTCCATGCATCAAATAAATTTATGGAAAATTTTACGGTACACATATGTATCCAGTATGTATCCTTCAAAAAAGATAATATGGTTTAATGATATAAAGATTGTGTGTAATAAATATTGGTTGGTCAGGTTAGGTTAGGTCAGAGTGGTTGCCTTGTGAAGTAAAAGTCATTTAGTTACACATACAGGTTTGTTGTGATGCTACAGATGAGCTGCTATCCGTTCGCTAGACTCGAAGGGGACTAACTTATAGGTAAAAGTTGTGCTCAAACCTCCAGTCTCTTAACTAAACTGGAACTTTGTCCCTGCCATGCCCTCATAACTAAATAATGGTTACAAAATCATGTATACTGAATATACTAAATGTAGGTATACTGTACTGAATTGTACAATGACAAAATGCGGTCACAGTGGTGGTTATCACTGGTAATAGCATCGAAAAAATATATATATCAGTGAAATATACAATATCAGTGGTTCTCAACCTAAGAAGTTTATATGTTAAATTTTGGTTGGTTAGTCAACTTACTTGTAGTTTACAGGATATAACACATGTTAACCCTTATCTCAGCGATCAATGTGCATTATTCTATGGAATATTTATGAGTAAAATGATATAAATACTTTAATAGATTGTTCGGTTTGTTAACTTAATTATCCAGCGTTAATAGAAGTTTTTTAAAAATACATTAGTTTTTGTGGTTTTTCGGTGGTAAAAAATCTCAGGACGTAAAGTAACTTTATAAATAGTATTGGTTGATTCAGTCAGACCTAAAAGTCGATAATTTTATAATGGTATTGCTCGATAAGCTATTAATACATATTGGTACTTACAGAAAGTTCAGGAGCATTTGGTAGCTTCAGTAAATTCATTGGTACACTTTTCTAAGATATATAATGACTATAAATACTTTTAACATAATGTCACTAAATCAATGGGTTATTCGGTTAGTTAACTCATTTCTATAAATTACAGTAACAAGTTTGATTGCATCCGTCATTCCAGGTGTTGTACTTAGAGAAGGTAATTGAATATAGTTGGTTGGGTAGTAGTAGGAGCGTAGGAGGAGTAGGAGAGTGTATTAGTGTTGTTGGAAGAACCATCTAAATATGACAAAAGTGTTAAAAAAAATTTATTTAAACAAATAATTTAAATAACTTAAACTGCTATTACTGGGGTCCAAGTAGTTTGAAACTTCCCAAGAAAGTCAATTTTAATTTATATTTACCTGTGTAAGTGTAGTCTGTTATATAAAAATAAAAAAGATGTATATCGTTTAGTTAAGTCTCCTCTGTATTCTCCTCGTTCCAAGAGAAGATACGCATAAGTTGGTCCCACACTTGAAATGAAATCATCATTAAAAATCGTTGAACTTTTTTATACTTAAAGCGTTATATATATATAACTATAAGTATAGTAAGTTATACTTACTGGCGCCTAACCATGTGGTTGAGCGTTTGCTGGAGTGTTTCAGGTGCAACGGATGTATCTTTACTTTTGACTGAACACGCCGTTGTTTTCTTGGTTTCTTTTTGGCAGATATGCGACTGGTAAGGTGTTTCTTAATTCGAAGTGTATTACTACGATTAACACGGGATTGACGTGCGATGCGTGACAAACGTCCTGAACCAGACGGTGCATATTTGAGTTTTTCCTTAGCACTCATCTTACGCCACTTAGCTCCACCACGCTTGGCTATTTCTACACTGCTGAGATGACGATTTTCAGCTCTAAACTTCTGTAGAAATTTTAAAAATGGGTTGGTGGTTGGCATGACTTTAAAACTAAAAAAAAAAGGATATGAATGTTAATATAATATATATTAAGTGAAATCAAAATAATTTGACATATGTTGATTTCTTTACTAAATATTCAATTAATCTTATTTTACTGTCCAAACCTCTATATGCAAGACTAGACTTGCAAGATTGAAGTAGAATGTAAAATTTTTAGTTCCGTGAATGCCATTATTATAATATCATTAATGAATAATTTTCTTAGTGATGATTATTATTATAACTGATTTAAGTTTAGCGCAGTAATGCGTTTATCACAAACGCACTAGGACTCAACAATTTATTGTCTTTATATAGGATGCTAAGGATGCATTATGTATTGGTTTCTGGCAAATGTGTAATAAATAAATATAGCACATGCAATAAAATTGATAACTTCATCTGCTACTTAAGTTCCAATTATTCACTATAAATTAAAAATACAAAAATTACTTTTCGTATTTGAAGAACAACTGAAACTGCCAAATGCATCCGCAATATAAATCAAAATATCCACAAAAAAGATCCTTGATGAAATGTTTCAAAATGCAGTTCCTGGCCATATGTGCATAAAATTTTTGTCCATCTCGATACAGTAGCGTACAGTATGCAATTCGTAAATTTTTTATTTATTTTTATTGTCAGCAGAAACGATAACATTCCTTTTGTAATTCGTTGTCATTTGGCTGTAATGAATGTCTTCCATAACTCATTGAAATCTCAAGAAACATCCTTCCAAATGAGTACTGAAGCGACCGTTGATGCTCTGAAGCAAACAATATTTTTATTATTAAATGGGCGATGGCTTCATTGTTGTCGGCATAATATCAGGCAATTGTGTGTATTTGGCCAAGAAAATTGCCACTTCGTTTGTAATTGTTCCAATAGAGCATGGACACCAGCAGCGTGTGTGTGGTTCCAGTAAATTTCGGCTAACGCTGGCAATAATGCTGCAGTAACCCCAAGATATAATAATGGGCAATGATGTCATTGTAGTGTCTTTATATGTTTGCAGAGACAATTAAATGTGTGCTTATTGTCATTTCCTGTTCCTGCTTTGTTTAGATAGAGCCATAGTTTTCAGTTAGACATTCTATGTGCTATGAAATATTTTAGGGCACTATGTCCAATACAAAAAATATTTATAAACAATAATAAAATACACATACGATTATTCTGGTTGGCCACTTAAACCAAGTATTTGGAAAAAAATTCAATTGATTTCAGCTATTCTTTTTTTAAGACAAACATAAAAACTTTTAACAACGTTTCAAAGGAGAGAATACCCAGGAAAATCATTTCAGTATTGTTTGTTCTTATGGGAGGTCCTTTTTTATGTTGCACATAAAAAGTCCAGCTTTTACAATATCCATTAAATTGGTCAATAAGGCAAAAACAGTAACGTTTACTTATTTTCCAAATCACATTTTCTGTTTAAGATTCTGGCAGTGGTCAGAAGTGTTCCTGGTTGGTTCCATTAAGTTTTACGGCTTTGGAAACGTTTATTTAGCTTCTCTTGACTAAACGTTTGCTTTAACGATCATGGTTATGGGTTTCTCAAATTTTATTACCTTAAGGAAACATTTTTGCAAATGATTTGCTCTAGAGAAATTTTCACAATCATTAGAATTTACCGATTAGAATTTATTGAACGTTTTCGGATTGATTGGGGAAGAGAAGAGTTTTTAAGATTCTGGAGTACATAAATGTTAAAATTGAATTGATAATGTGATTTATTTATACATAAAAAAAAATTTAGTAAAGCAAAAATTATATTTGCAATATATTAAATATAGCTATGCACTTTTATTAGTACGTAAAACATTAGAAAAATGAACTTATAAGCTTGAAAAAAAAAAGTTGAACTAAGTAGTGGTGTTTAAAACCAAACAATATTGATCTCTATATGTGGACTTCACAAGAACAAAAAAAATAACATTACTTATTAATTGTAAACTGCTTGGATATTTGGATATGAGTTGGATGACGCTAGATATAAAATTAAGTTGGAAGGGACATATGAGCAGCTGGTGACTAAGCGATGAAATCATTTCGCCATTGCACCTATTTTTTAACTTTTGACAGTCGTAAGTTTC